GAAGATTTCCATAAGACAAAGATACCAGTACCATGGAAGGCTATATTTTTGTCGGTACCTTTTAATGCTTTGCTGATATCACGTTGTGCAGAAGGTTGGGGTCTAACAACGCTGCAGGCTCAAATTCCTTCATATTTGCATGGTGTATTGGGTATGGAAATTAAATCGAATGCCTTATACTCGGCTTTGCCCTTCCTGGCCATGTGGACAATGTCATATGTTTATGTCATCATAGCAGATGTTTTACAACGCAAAAAAATCCTTTCACTATCGGCCATAAGAAAAACCATAAACAGCATTGCCTATTGGATACCAGCAATTGGTCTAATTGGAATGGGCTTTCTGGATGATAACAACAAAACCTTGGCCATTGTTTTAATGACCGCAACTGTGGGAGTAAATAGTGGAGCGACAATTGGTAGTGGTCTCAATACCATTGATTTGTCGCCAAATCATGCTGGCATTCTGATGGGCATCATTAATACCATTGCCAATTTTATGCCATTGATTTCACCTTTGCTGGTCGGTGTAATTGTGACAGATTCGGTAAGTCAAAAATCATGGAAAAATGTATTTTCCATATTTAATTTCTTATGTTCTTTTTTTGGGGTTTCCAGAGTGATCGCACTGATTGGCAAATTGTGTTTGCCATTTCCGCAGTTATATTCTTTGTTGGTAATCTAATTTTCATAATATTGGGCAGAACGGATGCTCAACCGTGGAATGCAGAAGATTTCCTTTTACCCAAGGATACCGAAACACAAGCTAATGGTAATGCCACCAAACCGAAAGCCATCGAGGATAGTAAAAGCAACGCAAATGACGAGAAAATCAAAAATTAATTTATATTAATAGTTTATAAGTAGCTGTAAGTTTGTATTGAAATTAGTATTTTATAGAACATATATAGAAAATGTAAAAACTCTAATTGAAAAAAGTAAAAATAATTTGATATTATTTTATTTCGGGACAATTATGGACAAAATTCATATTTCTTAATTTGAATGAAAAACATACAAAATTTCACAAAAAAAAAATTACACAATTACACAAGCCGGCCGCGATAAAAATCGCAATATTTAAGATAGAGCCTTGCAATTTTACACTGACAGTGCTATTACACGTAGGATGTTTTTGGTATAGCAAATAGGGTGCACCGGTCCATGCGGTTTTGTAGCTTCCATATAACGGTACAACCGAATTTTCGGTATTCTAAAGGCTTGAGTGACATTTTCCAACCGAAAGTGCTGTAACTTATATTACCAGGTTTTCGGAGACTGACGTACATTTTGACATAGACCCATATAAAGATCCCACAAATTTTTGAGGAATTTTGAGGGCTTTAGACAAATTTTTTAACATATAAGACTCGAATTTGTTATTTCGGGGCTCTGAGGGTAGACGTATATCTGGACAGAATATCATTATAGGTTCATGTTTTTTACAAAGCCCCCAATATGAAGATCCCGCAATTTTGAAAATTTCTAAGGTTTTTGCCGCATTTTCCAACCTAAGGAATCTAATTAGGCATTTCGAAGTTTTTGAGGTTCATGTTTTGAGGTATAAGGTCCGAAAATTGTTCCTTATTTTAAGAGTTTGGCCGCCTTGTCCAAAACACGTTTTTCTTAAAGAAAATTTTAGGTTGGAAAAAGAAATTCATTTTTTTTCGGCAGATTGTTGTACTGATATATTTATCGTAAAGTATCGATTAAACAATTTCTCGTTGGAAGGGTGACATTTCGCAGTATTTTTTTTTTGCGCATTCAGTTGTGACTTACAGAGTGTTAAAAATGGATGTGAACAACGAGAAAATTTAATACATTTTACAGTTTTTCATTGACAAAGGCGAAAATGCAAGCCAAGCGGCTAAAATTGTGTGTTCATGGTTCCAATACTGTAACATCCAATTATGTGCAATTTTGGTTTCGTAGATTCTGTTCAGGAAAATTGCGAAAATCGGAGAAATTACCGAAGTTGACCGTAATGTTAGCAGTCGAAACATCGTCCAGGAAATTTTAATGCATCCGATATACACTCTGGACTTGGCACCAATCTATTATCATATTTTTCTTACATTGCAAAATTTTCTGAAAAAAGTTTTTTATTCACCGGAAATCCCGAATGCTAAGTTATAACCACTTAGGAGTACCGAACAGGACCAAAATATAAAAATTCCGACAAACATATATTTTTATACCCTTCACCACACTATGGTACAGGGTATTATGTCTTTGTGCATATGTTTGTAACAGGCAAAAGGAAACGAGATAGACAGATGGTTCCTTTTGAGAATATCCATAGAATCAATTTTTAAGTGGATTTATGCATGCCCGTCCGTGCGACTGTCTGTCCATATTAAATTGTAAACAAAGTACAAGTCGCATTTTTGATTCGAATTGGATTAAATTTGGCACAGCTCATTTATTTTGAGAAAAGTCGATTCAGAACGATGTGTATTAAATTTCGTGAAAATCGGTTCAGACTTAGATATACCTCCCATATATATTTTCGTCCGATTTAATGTAAATGGTGCACCAAAGTCCAAAGTTTGGCATAGGGTACTGAATTGAGTCTAGAATGATGGAAGGTATGTTTCGGAAAAATCGGTTCAGATTTGGATATAGGTTCACCCGATTTTGCATAAATGTTGCACCGAACTCCTAATATTATTATTGCGTTTTGTTGAAATTGGTGCATAGCTTCCATATGTATTTAGAACGGGTGTTTGATTGAAATTGATTAATAATTGTCTTCATATATGTATGCTAACCTCCAAAATCCCGCAATGTGAAATTACACTTACTGTGGGGTAATGTGGTGCTGCCGTTAACCAGCTACCCCTAAATATTACCTATATTCTACCCAGGGAGAATCCGAAATACAAAACCGAAAATTAGGTTAAAAATGTCCCCAAAACTTTCAACAAATTAAATATTGGGGTATGGTGCACCCAAAAAGGGCCGATATATTTAATTTCCAATACCAAATGTCCTAGGAGTAATGTAATATATGGGCAAATTTACAAAGCTCTGTTTTCATTATTGCGACCTCAATCGAACGGGCATGGCTAAATCGACAAGGAATAACATTTAAGAATAAATGGGGTCTCTGATGAATATTTCATTATTACATATTACCAATTTTGTTCTTTTAATTTTTTAGCACTTTTTTCTGGCACTTTTTTTAAATTTCTAGCACTTTCTAGCATTTTTTTCAACAAAATCTAGCATTTTTTCTCAACAAAGTTTTGGCAACACTGCTAGGGAGGAATGTGAAAATCGACTACTAGAGGGGCATTATGAAGTTACCTCTAAAATGGCAACAAATCATACAACAAAACGGTGCATTTTTGGCCCAAATCGGACATTCCGAAGCATGTTAAATAAAGTGTTATATAAAAAAATAATGGATTTCTTTTTCCCCAACCAAATATATAACATAAAATAGGTAGATCTGAATTAAAAAAAAAATGGAATACTTCTTAACCCTTTCAGTTTTTTTGTCGAATATATTCGACATTTAAAAGTACTCTCTTTCTTTCCGATTTTTCGGTTATCCTATGTACCGCTACTATTAATTTTTTTTTTGCTGAAAGACAGACGAAACTAGCCGAGGATTCAAATGAACATTGCTATTTTTTCTAAACTCTGTTCCTTTATATGATTTTAAATACAAAATTTTAGATTTTTATTCCGACAAAAATTTTGTTTGACACTGAAAGGGTTAATTAACCCTCGTAGACTGATGTTGTTGTATTAACAACATCACCGTTTTGGACATGAGGTAGAATACGAAATTTAGATTTACATTTGATTATAATTAGAAAATACTACGATCAATTAAGTATACAGTCAGCTACACATTATTCAATATAATTATTTGTAAATGCTGTTACATGCAAACGTGTGGAAAAAAATTACGTCGGAGAGAAAACGAGTTTATATATAAACAGAAAAAATTTGGTAAATATATTCTGAAAGCCTGTTTGTGAAGTTACCGACATACAGGGTAAGAAATATACAAATATTTGTGTCATTTTGAATATTTGCAGGATGAATGACACCAATTTTAGGACTTTCGTCCATAAAGTCGTAGATGTTGATATCTGAACAATATACCGTCCGTGGCAATGAGCAGGAGGAACAGCAGGAGGTCTTCATCTTCCTGTGGAAGACCTGGAGGTATTCTTCTTCCTATAGGAGAGCTGGAGGCATTCTTCTCTCCAGTGGAACAGCTGCAGAAATGCTTCTTCCTGTGGAAGAGCTGCAGGTATTGTGGAAGACCTTCCTATAGGAGAGCAGGAGGTCTTCTTCCTGTGGAAGACCTGGAGGTAATCTGGGTAGATTTTATCGCCCAAATTGTCCACTAATATGCAAGTGATAGTGTTTTTGATGGTTCAACCCTCTGGAAAGAACGCGATCGAAGATACCCTTCATATCTGATCGATTTAAATCACATCCTACGGTGAGCATGCGAATCGTAAATGTGGCTTATTTCCAAACATGGATGTATATTGAATTTTTATGAGGAGTTATTTTATACCATGTTAAAGCTACTTTTGCACATCTAAGGGGGGAACACATAAGAGGACTTCAGGCTTGGCATGTTAAGTTGAGTGTTTATTGTAAAATAATACAAGAGAACGGCGTTGAAAATTCATTTTGACACTGATATTACTTTATAAATTGGTATTTCATACAAAGCCAATCCTTGTATGTGTTTCCCCCTTAAACAAAATATTTAATAGATTTCACCAATATCAATAATTTCACCCAAAAAATATTTGTTACACAGTGTTATTTATTGACGATTGTTACAAATCAATTTACATTATATGAAACAAGTGTACATTAATATTGACTTCACCTACCTGATCATTTCCAAATCAACGAAGTACATATACAGACGTGCAAAAACATCTCTCAATAAAATTAACGAAAATTATTTAAACAAAAAATATAATTATAATTAAAGAAAATAAATAAAAGTCTTTTCAAGACATGCCTGTTAATATTAACAAAGGTAGAACAAAAAACGTGTGAAATTGTTTTAAATGCAAAAAAAAAAAAAACAATAAAATAATTTTATAACAATAATAAAAACTCATAAAAAATTTGGGTATTTGGTTTAAATGTATATATTGATTTAATGTGCAATTTCGAAAATAAAAAATTCTTTAACAAAAATTAAGACATTTTTGTTATTTTAAATAAAAAATTAAAAATAATAAAATGTACAATGCAATATACACACACATTTTAAATAAGAGCCGTAAATCATTATTCATGACCATACCTAATTATATTTTACTGCGTCAGTGACAAAATTAAAATTAATATTTCAAAATGTATATGTGAATAGGTGGTTGACCCAGATTTTTTGTTTACATATTATAATTTATATTGGGGTGGTGTAGTTGAAAAAAAAATCAAGAGCAATCGGGCACGTGTTTTTGTAATTATATATATATATATGTATTCTATCCACCTATCCAAAATGCCAAATTACGGTCGGGTGAAATATACGACAAAAACGTTCAAAATACCTAATCAGAACCATGGGACCATAACTAAGCAGTGGGGCTATGTAGAATCATAGGCCTATATTGACATTACTCTGCAATGATATTTGTTGGTCTCCAAGAATTTTTTGTCATAAAAATTTGATATTTTCTCGTTTTAGGTTCCATGCTTGGAATGCGACATGTCCAGAGTGTTCTGCTTTTCTTTAATGTCACTTCGATTTATTGCAGCCGTTTAAATATTGGCGTCGCTGTGGTTGCCATGACCAATGCGGCAACAGCTAATCCTGATTTTCCTGTAAGTAACACATGTTTGAATTCCCTCAAAGATATATACTCTACATACTTCCATTTTCTAGGAATTCAATTGGAGTGAAAAGGAAATTTCCTACGTAATATCAAGTTTCTTTTGGGGTTATGTCTGCACACAATTTCCTGGTGGATTTTTGTGCAAGAAATTTGGAGCGAAATTGGTAATGATTGTTGCCACCAGTATTTCCGCATTATTAAGTGCCGCAACACCATGGTGTGTGGGTTGGGGAAGTTGGCGTATTTTATGTGTTATACGAATCGTACAAGGTCTGGCACAGGGTGTAATATTTCCCTGTGTTTATGAACACTTGGCCAAATGGGTGCCATTAAAGGAACGTAATCGTTTGGGTGCATTCGCCTTATCGGGATCTGATTGCGGCACCATATTGGCAATGTCTCTAAGTGGTATTATAGCCAAAGGCGCATGGGGTTGGCCCGGTATCTATTACATCTCGGCTGGTATATGTTTTTCATGGTGTATATTTTGGTTAATATTTGGTGAAAATAATCCAGATGACTCGAAATTTATTGGCACCAAAGAGAAAAGTTACATAGCCTCCGAAATGGCGCTCAGTGATGATTTCCATAAAAAGAAAATAGCATTCCCCTGGAATGCGGTTTTACGATCAACACCCTTTTATGTTCTTATTTTGGCAAGATCATGTCAAAATTGGGGTTTATCCACCATACATGCTCAAATACCATCATATCTTAGTGGAGTGCTAAATATGGAAATTAAATCGAATGGTCTGTATTCATCATTACCCTTTATAGCTATGTGGATAATGAGTTATGTCTACCTGTCACTGGCGGATATATTGCAGAATAAAACCAATATAAGTTTAACAACATTACGTAGACTTTTCAATAGTTTAGGCAGTTGGTTGCCAGCACTGGGATTGGTGATAATTGGATTTTTAGATGAACGCCACAAAACCCTTGCAATAATTCTAATGACTTTGATTGTGGCCCTGAATAGTGGCAACATTATTGGTAGTGCCTTAAATATGATTGATTTGGCGCCCAATCATGCTGGTTTCATGATGTCCCTGGTAAATGCTGTCTCCAATGTAACACCATTTATATCACCACTCGTTGTGGGTGTTGTGGTTACAGATGTGGTGAGTTGGGTGACGTCTATTTTAATTTGGAAATTTTGTGACAAATTTGTATTATTTTCTTTTTTTCAGACTAATCGTACTCTGTGGCAAATTGTTTTCATTATTGCCGCTGCCGTTCTCTTCTTTGGCAATTTGTTTTATATTCTCTTCGGTTCTGCGGAAACACAACCATGGAATGCTGTCGATTTTCTCGAGAAGGAGGCTGGAAGGAGGAAGACTATTCATGGATATGATAATAATATTGAAATATTACAAATAAAAGTTAAATGCTTTGAATCAAATGACGGAAATTTGAAGTCTGAAAATAATAATGTACAGAGAATATAAAATATATATATATATATTAATTCAAATAATTGAATAATAATATATTCACATAATTAAAAATTAAATAAATTTTATTTATTTTTTTGTAGCATAAAATAATTCAAATAATTAAAAATTAAATAAATTGTTTTTATTTTAAATAACTTCCGGATAGAAGCGTTTTGTTCACCAGGAAAATGATATGTCAAATGATAGGTGCAGGCACAACCTCCTGTAAAAATGAAGATGTTAACATGACAGATATAGATAAAGATAGCGTGTTGAGGATGTGGAGGGAGCATTTTGAAAAGCCAGAAGTATCAAATACCAGAAGTATCAAATAGTGGCGATGAAGAAGATGCCCTAGAGCCAATAAGAGATGCCGGTATAGAGTGTATACCACCTAGCCAAGAAGAACAATAAAGCAGCTGGATGCTAGGCGAGTTATTCAAAGCGGTGGTCAGATGCTGGCCAGGATCATGCACCAGCTTATTAGTACAATTTGGATAGTGGAATACATGCCCAATGATTGGACCATCAGCATCCTGTTTCCCGAGCACATAAAAGGAGACAAATATATATGTGCCAACTATAGAGGAATATGTCTCGTTCCCATCGAATATAAAGTGCTATCAAGCGTGTTGTGTGAGCGACTGAAGCCAATGGACATTATTGGACCATACCAATGCGGCTTCAGACCTGGCAAATCCACCATTGACCAGATTTTCACTCTGCGCCAAATTATGGAAAAGACCCACAGACCCAGGATTTGGCGCAGAGTGAAAATCTGGTCAATGGTGGATTTGCCAGGTCTGAAGCCGCATTGGTATGGTCCAATAATGTCATTGACCATTGGCTTCAGTCGGTCACACAGCACGCTGGATAGCACTTTATACGCGATGGGAAGGATACCTATTCGTCGACTATAAAGCCGAATTCGACAGCCCTATCCATTCAGAGGTGTTTAAAGCCATGTCTACGCTCGGCATTCCTGCAAAATTAATACGGCTATACAGGATAGCCTATTGGAGCCCTTCAATACCGAACGAGGATTCAGACAAGGTGACAGTTTGTCGTGTGATCTTTTTAACATCCTACTGGAAAAGGTCATTGGAGACGCAAAGGTGGACAGAAATGACCACTCTGTACACCAAACAACTCGTTACTCGTTTTGAAATTCAGAGATGCTACTATAGTCTAAGTAAGCAGTTTAGAAACAAGGCTACCTCCCTCCAGACCAAACTCACATTTTCCAAGACGCTGATACTACCCGTGCTGTTATATTGATCTGAAGCATGGGTACTTGCACTAGCAGATGAGACAGCTCTTGGGTTGTTTGGAAGAAAAATTCTCCGAAAGATCTACGGGCCGATCTGCGTCGACGGTAAATATCGGCGTCGAATGAAACACGAGCTTTACAATTTATACGCGGACATCGACATAGTCAGTCGTACTGAGCAGCAGCGACTACGGTTGAAAGAAAAATTCTCCGAAATATCTACGGGCCCACCTGCGTCGACGGTGAATATCGGCGTCGAATGAACCACGAGCTTTACAATTTATACGCGGACATCGACATAGTCAGTCGTATTGAGTTGCAGCGACTACGGTGGCTAGGTCATGCTGTGCAAATGAATGAGAATGCCCCAGCTCAAAAGGCATATAAAAGCTAGCGTACTGATGGTTCCCGTAGAAGGGGAAGGTCACGAATCCAACGGAAAGATCAAGTATATTACAAAATCTAGGAAAATGGTATTTTTTGGTAATAATTTTCTGTATAAAAATATGTCAAACTTCATGAACCCTCTACAACAAATTACAGCCACATCGGTGGAAAATTTTGCTAAAGCCTTCAATGTACCGGATATTGATGATTGTCGCTATAAGGAGCGTAAACCAATATATAAATTTTGGTAGGGAACCTAAAAAAATCAATTGACAGTCAAAGCGGTTGGAAAATACGCCAAAGACTTCAAAAATCCCGGATAATAGGGCATGGTGTTTACCTGGAAACTTGCGCCAATATTGATGAGAATCCTAAACATACAATTAAATCCGATTCCGTTGAAAAAGGTTCCCAACTCCAAAAAATAACAAAATTTCCAAATTTATTTTAGTACGGACATTGTATACCTAGTGAGAATCCAAAATCCCAACTTTCGGCTGATTTGCTTGAACAACGTGTCCAATGGTTTCAAAATACCGAATATTGGTGGGTACCATTATATGGGGACTATTCCCAAACATTTGCTAGACAAATGTGGCAACACTCCCCAAAATTCCGACATTTGGGAGGTATAGTTTTTGGGGACCTACACGTCGACGGGTTTGTCTCGTTTGCAATATCAAACATCCTAAGAGCAGTAGCAATGTATATGCAGAAAGCTTTATCTTAAATATTTTGGGTTGTGTGGGGTTTTCAACAGACGGACGGAAATGGCTAATTTCAGAATTGTATTCCGATCAATAATATTCTTTATGGGGCATTTGCAAATTTTCCTACTGTTCTTTAATGTTACTTCGATATATTGCAGTCGTTTAAATATTGGTGTCGCAGTGGTGGCCATGACCAATTCCGGAGCAGCTAACCCCGATTTTCCTGTAAGTAACGACCGTGTAGAGTCCCTTAAATTGTATGCTCTAAATATTTTCACATTTTTTAGGAATTTAAATGGAGCGAAAAGGAAGTCTCTTATATTATATGCAGTTTCTTTTGGAGTTATGTTTGTACACAATTTGTCGGGGGATATTTGTGTAAAAAATTTGGAGCTAAATTGTGAATGAGCGTGGCCACCAGTATTACAGCATTGTTGAGTGCCGCTACGCCATGGTGTATTGGAAGGGGAGGTTGGCGTATTTTTTGTTTAAAACGCATTACACAAGGTGTGGTTCAAGGAATACCTTTTCCCTGTATTTATGAACATTTGGCCAAATGGGTACCATTAAAGGAACGTAATCGTTTGGGAGCTTTTACCTTGTCCGGTGCTGAGTTTGGTACTATATTGGCAATGTCCCTAAGTGGTATTATAGCCAAAGGTCCATGGGGTTGGCCTGGTATCTATTACACATCGGCGGCTATATGATTCACTTGGTGTGTTTTGTGGTTAATTTTTGGTGAAAATAATCCCGAAGAATCAAAATTTATTAGCCCCCAAGAAAAAAGTTATATTGTATAGGAAATTTCACACACTGATGATGATTTTCATAAAAAGAAAATACCATTTCCCTGGAATGCTGTTTTACGTTCAATACCATTCTGTGTCCTAATATTAGCAAGATCAGCCACAAATTGGGGTTTATCGACTATGCAAGCTGAAATACCATCATATCTTGGCGGCGTGCTCAATATGGATATAAAATCGAATGGTTTATATTCTGCCTTGCCGTTTATAGCCATGTGGATTATGGGCTATGTATATATGTTCATAGCCGATATACTGCAACATAAAACTAAAATAAGCTTAACAACATTACGCAAACTATTTAATAGCTTAGGAAGTTGGTTGCCAGCTCTGGGATTGGTTATTATTGGATTTTTAAATGAACAACATAAAACTTTGGCCATTGTTCTGATGACTTTGATTGTGGCCGTAAATAGTGGTAACGTTATTGGCAGTGCTTTAAATATGATTGACTTGGCGCCCAATCATGCTGGTTTCATGATGTCTCTGGTAAATGCTATTGCTAATATTACTAACTTGGTTTCGCCTTTAATTGTGGGCGTGGTGGTTACCGATGTGGTAAGTGTAAATTGCATATATTTTTGTTGTGACATTTTATTAAAATTTAAACTTTTTTTTATTAAATTTCAGACCAACCGCTCTATGTGGCAAATTGTGTTCATCATTGCTGCTGCGATTTTATTTTTTCGGCAATTTGTTTTATATTCTCTTTGGTACTGCTGAAACACAACCCTGGACTGCCGTGGATTATCTTGAAAAGAATGATGACAAGAGGAAGAGTATTTGTGGCTATGATAATAAAATCGAAATTCTATGAATAAATGATTTGATTTAAATCAAACAATGACAAGGCGTTCAAAATACATAATACATATATTGATACCCTCTGAACAAACTTTGCCCTATGACCAAATTACAGACATTTTGTTTTTAACGAACGGTTAGGACCCTGATTTTTGTGTGAAAAATTACAAGATTTGTATTCTATGGCGTATATATTCACTCCTGAAGGAATTAGACCAAAGAAGTTGATATTATATTGAAGTGGTTGACCTTTCGGATGTGGATTTGTATTCAGATATTATTTAGTAACCAATTACCACACTAGAAGGCGGAAGGAATATAGCGCTGACTCCTTTAAAATTTTGCATGAGGTTCCAGTTATGATCAAGGACAACGTATATAATTTTCGGTGATGAAAATCAAGGACATATCATAAGGGATGAAGTGAACCGAAAACTTATTTTTTTGTGTTTTTTCGAGTCGATCTATAGATTTCAATTATAAACCGAACATCACAAAACAACCCAAGGTGAAGGGAATCTGGACAAGTAATTAAAAAAAGGCTGTATGGCTGTAGAAGGGCTGTCCGAATATTACTAATATTATATTCGGAAAATATGTAAGTGTAAGGACCGATCTCTAATCGGTCAAGAGGATGCAAATATCACAAAATATTGCCCAGGTTGTGGTAGTTGTGTAGCGTATCGTATGGTCAACCCCGTCCGATTATATTGCTCCGCTTAATGGTTTCCATTATACAGATTCCAAAGTGATCAGAATTCCAATTATATATTTTGGCAAATATATACAGGTTCCACATTTAGTTCCATTCAGCACTTTTCGAAGACAAAAGTTCAAATTTTCATGACTACCTGCATATATCAATCGTACTTCTAATTTCACTAAATTTGGTACGAGTTTGTACCAAAAACCCTTTGGCACTTCCAAAATCCAAATTGTAACAAATTTAGTGCACATAAATTCGTATTTCCAAAGCTGTCTTCATAGTTCAATCCTACCCTTCAACAGTAATCTAAATTCCAAATCTCATCCAAATTGTACTAAATTTAGTACCATTCAATGCATGTCGTACTCATAAAAAAGAATTTCTAAACATCAATCCTATGCTCTAACATTATTCTAAATACCATCAAAGTCCAAATTGCATAAAATTTAGTACTTTAATTAATCCTGCTTTCAAATAGTAATTATAAGTCAAAGCTCTATCTGTTCACCAAAATCCAAATTGTACTAGATTTGGTACCATTCTCCACTTTTCATACCCATATACCAAAACTATCTCAATGCTACACTCCGACAGTGGTCTTAGTTGCAGCGTTCAGGATTCCAGTTCTACACGTTTTCCAAAGTCAATTGTACCAAATTTAGTAATTTTCGATTTTCTAAAACTTGCTCAATTCTAAACTCCAACAGTAACAATTTCAGAATACCAGCCCTATCCGTTCACATAGATCTAAGTTGTACCATATTTAGTACTTTTCGTATTTCGAATATCCTACACTACCTCAATTATGTATTCTAACAGTAATTTTAATTTCAAACATCAGCTTTCCATTTCTATCCGTTCATTCAAATCTAAATTTAATACAATTTTTTTAGTACACATAGTTACAAATTTTCAAAATTACATACCTCCTACACTTCTAACATTAATTTTAATTCTTAATTTTAGGATTCCCCTTCTGCCCGTTCACACAAACCATTGTACCATAATTAGTACCATTTAGTGCTTTTCGTTTTCTGAAGTACGAAATTCTGATACCTAATTACTATTTTCAGGTTTTCAGCTGCATCCGTTCACCGAAAATTCAAATTGTACTAAACTTAGTATCGGTTAGTACTTTTCGTACCCATAAGTACAAATTTCCTAAACTACCTAAATCCTACACTAAAACAGTCATTTTAATTTCCCAATTTCTGACAGTAATTTTAATTTCAAACATAATCTTTGCACTTCTATCCGTTCACTCAAATCTAAATTTGATACAATTTTTTTTTAGTACACATAGTTACAAATTTTCAAAATTACATACTTTCTACACTTCCAACAATTATTTTAATTCCTAATTTGAGGATTCCTCCTCTGCCCGTTCACACAAACCATTGTACCATAATTAGTACCATTTAGTGCTTTTCGTTAGTAGTTTTCGTACCCATAAGTACAAATTTCCTAAACTACCTAAATCCTACACTAAAACGGTCATTTTAATTCCCAATTTCAAGACTCCAGCTCTACATATTCACCAAAATCGAACTTGTACCAATTTTAGTTATTTTCTTATACATACGTACGATTTTTATAGCTACCTCAATCTTGTACTCCAATTAATTCCCATTTTCAGAATTCTATTTTTATATTGTCAACTTAATACAAATAGTTCCATATTTAGTACCATATAGTACTTTCATACATGTAAATACAAATTTCTCAAATCGTTTCCATACATAAACCCAACTTTCCAACCTGTATGCAATTTTAAGATTCTAGCTATAATTTTGTAAAGTTTTGTACTTTTCATACACTTATGGGTCGAATCCTTTTGTATATCTTTTTAACTTTCCATCAGTGATCCACACTCAAAATTTCAAGGTTCTAGCTGCTGCCCTTCCGTCTGAGCGATGATCCCTCAGTCACAACATTATTTTCATTTACGAATTTCAGGATATTAATAGCTACCTATTATGGGTCGAATCCTTTTGTATATCTTTCTAACTTTCCATAAGTGACCCACATTCCGATTTTCAGAATTCTAGCTTTTCCCGTTTGCTTAATTCAAAGGGTACCATTTAGTACTCAGGCTTATCTCACGCCTACACTTCAACAACAACCCACACTCAAGATTTCAAGCTTCTAGCTTCAGCCATTTCGTTTAGGCGATGGTCTGTCAGTCAGTCACTCACTTATCACTAAACTCTTTTATGTTTTTATACCCTTCACCGCACTATGGTACAGGGTATTATGTCTTTGTGCATATGTTTGTAACAGGCAAAAATAATCGAGATAGACCCATGGTTCCTTTTGAGAATATGCATAGAATCATGTTGTGAGTCGATTTATGCATGTCCGTCTGTCCATGCTAAATTGTAAACAAAGTACAGGTCGCATTTATGATTCGATTTGGATGAAATTTGGCACAGCTCATTTGTTTGGCCCAAGGACGAACCCTATTGAAATTGGGAAAAATCGGTTCAGATTTAGATATAGCTCCCATATATATTTTCGTCCGATTTAAGGAAAATGGCGAACAAAAGTCCCTATATATCTTTCGATTTGCACGAAATTTAGCACAGCGTAATGAATAAGGTCTAGAATGATGTGTGCAAAATTTCGTGAAAATCGGTTCAGATTGAGATATAGCTCCCATATATCGCTTCGCCCGATTTTAGGTAAATAGTCCAAAAAAGTCCCTGGAAATCTTTTGACTTGCACGAAATTTGGCACAGCGTAATGAATAAGGTTTAGAATTATGTCTGCTAAGTTTCATGAAAGTCGGTTCAGATTTAGATATAGCTCCTATATATATTTTCGTCCGATTTAATGTAACTGGTGCACCAAAGTCCCTATATATCTTTTGATTTGCACGAAATTTGGCACGGCGTAATGAATTAGGTCTAGAATGATGTGTGCAAAGTTTCGTGAAAATCGGTTCAGATTTAAATATAGCTTCCATATATATTTTCGTCCGATTTAATGTAAATGTCCACCAAAGTCCCTATATATATTTCGATTTGCACGAAATTTTGCACAGTGTAATGAACTAGGTATAATGATGTGTGTTAAGTTTCCTGGAAATCGGTTCAAATTTAGATATAGCTCCAATATATATTTTCGTCCGATTTATTGTAACTGGTGCACCAAAGTCCCTATATATCTTTCGATTTGCAGGAAATTTGGCACAGCGTAATGAATTAGGTCTAGAATGATGTGTGCAAAGTTTCGTGAAAATCGGTTCAGATTTAAATATAGCTCCCATATATATTTTCGTCCGATTTAATGTAAATGGTCCACCAAAGTCCCTATATATCTTTCGATTTGCACGAAATTTGGCACAGCGTATTGAATTAGGTCTGGAATGATGTGTGTAAGTTTCCTGAAATCGATTCAGATTTAGATATAGCTTCTATATCTGGCCATATGAAAAATTTTGTATCGGTTGCAGAATGACTTGTTTATGGATCCAATTTAATTTTACTGATCCTTTACAAATGCGACGTCTGTTAGGATTCATCTGTTGAATATACCCAAAGTGGTGAAGGGTATCATATAGTCGGCCCCGTCCGACTTTACTACTTTCCTTACCGTTTTTTTTTTAATATTGGACTTAGCTTTTTTCCCACACAATGTAGTGATGATATTGTGGTCACTTTTAGTACATATTACTCTCATTACACATTGTACTCTTTTTCTCTTTGTTATCTATCAAACTCTGTACTAAAATGTTGTGTTATCTTTCAGAACTGTTCTTTTGTTTGCTTTGTTCTTCTTTTCGTTTTTGGGTAACACGAGTTGTAAATAGAAATTTTGATTTTTAATGGAATAAAATAAATGCAGTGATAATTGAAATAAATAAGGTGATTACAATGGAATGTGTTATGGGACTTCAAAGTTCCGGGAAATTTCAGTCTTTCATCCCCCAATTTTTTTTTTTTTTATATGACATATTTAATATTCATTCCCTATATATATTTTTTTTTATTTATTTAGGCCTCATTATGTTGATACGGTACGTTCAAGCTTCGCTACTTTTTATTGCATTGGTGGCTATGCATTTTAGTCGTGTGAATATCGGAGTTGCTGTGGTTGCCATGACAGATGCCAATAGCACAAATCCTAATTTTCCCGTAAGTTAAATTCAATATTTTATTCTATAAAATAATACAGTCATTTGTCGTTGCTTCAGGAATTCAAATGGAATGAACGACAAATTTCCTATATCCTGTCGAGTTTCTTTTGGGGATTCTGTGTGACCCAGCTACCCGGCGGATTTCTGTGCAGACGTTATGGTGCCAAATTTATTATGGGCATGGCAATATTCTTCTCCGGTGTGTTAAGTGCCATTACGCCGTGGTGCGTTAACTGGGGTGGCTGGCAGGCTTTGTGCGTCATACGAATATTACTGGGATTGGCACAAGGTTTGGTAATGCCCTGCGTGTTCGATCATCTGGCCAAATGGTCACCTTTAGAAGAACGCAACCGTTTGGGTGGATTAAGTCAAAGTGGCTACGATTGTGGTATGGTCTTGGCCATGGGTTTGAGTGGTATAATTGCTGAAAGTTGTATGGGATGGCCAGGAATTTCATATAGCTCAGCGGGACTTTGTATCGTTTGGTTCCTGTTATGGCAGGTGTTTGGTTCCAGCAATCCCGGCGACTCAAGTTTTGTATCGGCCAGCGAAAAATTCTATATCACCTCATCGAATGCCCACGAGGATACATTTCATGAGGGAAATATCGCTGTACCGTGGAAGGCAATATTCACATCGGTACCCTTTATGGCTCTGCTGATTACAAGATCTGCCGAAATGTGGGGTTTAACCACCTTGGAATCACAAATACCCTCATATTTTCATGGTGTCCTTAATGTGGAAATCAAAACGAATGCCTTCTTCTCGGCCTTGCCCTTCATTGGCAGTTGGTTAATGTCCTATGTGTTTATGTTCATGGCAGATGTTTTGCAGGAACGTAAAATTGTATCGCTGACCACATTACGTAAAATATTCAATAGCGTCGCATTTTGGATACCCGCCCTAGGTTTCATTGCTATTGGATTTTTGGATGAGAACAACAATGAGATGGCATTGTTTTTAATAACGCTCAGTAATGCCATAAATAGTGGCGAGACAATTGGTAGCTCGCTGAATGTTATTGATTTGTCACCCACTCATGCTGGGTTGTTGTATTCCATAATCAATACGGTGGCCAGTATTGTGGCATTGTTGTCACCACTTGCTGTGGGATTTATTGTTACGGATGTGGTGAGTGTTGATTTTTTAGTTATAGTATTCTAAGGGTAAAAAAGGCGAGGTTTTTTTAAAAAAATAAATTTTCAAGATCAGAGGCGTGGATTTCTTAATGAATATTTTTTCTGAAGACTATCAGAGGCGTGGATTTTATGAAATTTTTTTTCTGAAGACTATCAGAGGCATAGATTTTATGAAAATGTATTTTTTTAAATAATATTTTTCCAAGGAGACTATCAGAGGCGTGGATTTTTTTAAGAGAATATTTTTCCAAGGAGACTATCAGAGGCGTGGATTTTTTTAAGAGAATATTTTTCCAAGGAGACTATCAGAGGCGTGGATTTTTTTAAGAGAATATTTTTCCAAGGAGACTATCAGAGGCGTGGATTTTTTATGATAATATATTTCCAAGGAGACTATCAGAGGCGTGGATTTTTTAAAGAATATTTTTCCAAGGAGACTATCAGAGGCGTGGATTTTTTAAAGAATATTTTTCCATGGAGACTATCAGAGGCGTGGATTTTTTAAGGAATATTTTTCCAAGGAGACTATCAGAGGCGTGGATTTTTTAAAGAATATTTTTCCAAGGAGACTATCAGAGGCGTGGATTTTTTAAGGAATATTTTTCCAAGGAGACTATCAGAGGCGTGGATTTTTTAAAGAATATTTTTCCAAGGAGACTATCAGAGGCGTGGATTTTTTAAAGAATATTTTTCCAAGGAGACTATCAGAGGCGTGGATTTTTTAAAGAACATTTTTCCAAGGAGACTATCAGAGGCGTGGATTTTTTAAAGAACATTTTTCCAAGGAGACTATCAGAGGCGTGGATTTTTTAAAGAATATTTTTCCAAGGAGACTATCAGAGGCGTGGATTTGTTAAAGAATATTTTTCCAAGAAGACTATCAGAGGCGTGGATTTTTTAAAGAATATTTTTCCAAGGAGACTATCAGAGGCGTGGATTTGTTAAAGAATATTTTTCCAAGAAGACTATCAGAGGCGTGGATTTTTTAAAGAATATTTTTCCAAGGAGACTATCAGAGGCGTGGATTTTTTAAAGAATATTTTCCCAAGGAGACTTTCAGAGGCGTGGATTTTTTAAACACTGTCACAGGCGTGAGGATTTTAAAGACTGTCACATGCGTGGGGTTTTTACAGACTGTCACAGGCGTGGATTTTTTAAACACTGTCACAGGCGTGAGGTTTTTAAAGACTGTCGCATGCGTGGGGTTTTTACTGACTGTCTCAGGCGTGGATTTTTTAAACACTGTCACAGGCGTGAGGTTTTTAAAGACTGTCACATGCGTGGGGTTTTTACAGACTGTCACAGGCGTGGGGGTTTTCAAGAATATTTTTCCAAGGAGACTATCGGAGGCGTGGATTTTTTAAAGACTGGATTTTTTAATAAAAATGTTTGTTTAACGACTGTCACAGGCTTGGTGGTTTTAAAAAAGTATTTTTTTAAAGATAATAAAATTGTATTTTCAGCACAATCGCTATCAATGGCAAGTGGTATTTGTCATAGCTGCTGGGATTTTTATTGTCGGTAATCTATTGTTCATAATATTCGGCACCGCTGAAACACAATCCTGGAATTCTGAAGATTACCTACCGTCCGACGATACCGACAACGAATGGCATAGCTATAAAAGTAATTTTAGTGATTTAGAAACAATGCCCAATCACCAACAAGTTGATTATCAAAATAATAAAATATAGGTTAGGATTAAGCGCCTTCAAAAAAATATAGTATATGTAATTTTGTAAATATGTACAATATATTTATATAGAAATGTAATGTGATATATGATACTTGCTTGAATATTTGTTATTAAACTATATTGTTATAAATATAAACAATAAAATTAAAACGATATAAATTATTAAAAAATTCTATTCTTGCATGGCTTTTTTATTTCACCAGTTTTATATTTCGTACTATCCCCCAAAGTATGCTTCAATAAATATAATTTGAATGTTGCGTTGCCAAGTTGTTAACACGCGAGGGAGGAGTAGACATGGTTATTGTTAAATTAAATTTTCGGTGGATATAATGTTAACATTGAAGATTCCAATTAAATTTTCGGTGGATATATTGTTAACATTGAAGATTCCACAGGAAAAAAATAAATTAAATTAAAATTAATAAAAAATCAAACATTGTTGCTACTACAAATGGGGTAGAAAATATTAACATTATTGTTATTTGTTCTGGTTATTAATAATATTAATAGAATTCGTCTTAAGCCGATTATATTTGTCGGCCAAATTTCATCGCTATTTGCCTTCGACTCAAAAATACTCGCATAGACAAACATTTGTTCAGTATATTTACTATAAATAGGCCTTTAAGAAAAGAATAGTGGCCACTTTTAAAAGAAATCAATTCATTTTGTAAGTGTAAAAATTTGCACCTTAATTTCGCCAAAATTTAGTCATGGAAATCAGACCAATATCATCCAAAACACTTTAAATTGTGTGAATCATTCGGCGAAACTTTTCGTAATAGTAACCTAAACGGTAGCCGGCATCGTAAACATTTACTATTAATCTCGTCAAAACACCCGTATTTCTCCTAATTTATTGTTTGTTCCCTAATAATTTAAAAGTTGCTCAAAAATGTGTGAAATATTAAGTGAAATCGTAAATAAAAAGTAATCGGAAAGATATTGATAAGGGAAAAAATAGTTCAAATTGGAATTTGTTATAAACTATTTGAGAAACTGTAAAGCGTAAAATTCTATGACGATTTAAACATGTCCGTCTGTCGGTTGTAATCACTCTAGCCTCTAAATGAATTTAGATAGATTGCTAACATTTTGTATAGAGATGTCTTTTGTCTGCAGGTCAAGTTCGAAATGGGATATATCGGTCCACGTTTAAGCATAGACACCATATAAGGGTACCCCCAAATTTTCGGTATTTTGGAGTTCTTGAGCTCGTTTTTAAACCGAAATCGTTGAAATTTGGTACATTGTTTTCGTATTGCGTACAAAATTTCTCTACTAAAAATTATAAATATACGTCCATTTTGTATGGTCGCCCCCATTTCGTGTTGGTACCACATTCCCCACTACTAAAAATTATATAGGTCCACTTTTTCAATCGACTTCCCTGTAATTTGGTATTTTGTAGTCGTACTTGGTAACAAATCTCCATCCCAAAATTTATTTATATTAACCCCATTTAGGGGTAGTCCCCATATAACACTAATGTTTATATTAATTATACCCTCAGCCTTATTGCTAATGAGAGTATATACACTTTGATATGGTAAAAATGAGCCTCTTCAAAATATTAGTTTTAAACCCATGTTTCTTTGGACAAATCCGTTTCAGACTATTTGGAGTAAATTTACAAATGTCCGTCTATCTGGCCGGCTGATGCGCACGATAAATCTCGAAGGGAGTATCCAATTTAATCCAAACTTTGCTCATCCAAACTTTGCTTATTTATACTAAACTTTGCATATTTATACTCCCCACAAAATAGTCTATCTTATGCAAAAAAAAAAAAAAAAATTATAATATCATGCGAATGGATCATCCGTTTTAAACCAAACCATTGGTCAACTCCTTCTGGTTCCTCCCCCAAAAAGGATCCAAATTTTATAAATATATTCAATATCAGTCGAATGGAATGTAGGAATTGAACCAAACTTCCCTCAGTTTATACCCTACATAATATGGAATTTTAATGCCTACACTATGTAATCAATAATGGTCATCCTTTATGTATATCCCCGCATAAAACTTTGCCCTCTAAATTGCAGTATTTTCAGGAATTTATACACATTTTCCTCCCTACCATGCGTCATCAATATCGGACCTAGGGTTGAGATTTTGAGATATTAAAAAATCCCCTTTAAAAATTCGTGTGCATTATGGCTTACAACAATCGCTTGACACAATTGTCGGTATAGATCCACTTTTTGGTATATTCCATATATCCCCCATTATTCCTTACATCAGAAGTCTCGACAGTATGCCAATACTCTAAAATATGTGAATATATGTCATTCGTTTGTTATAAAAGGACAAATCGATTGTAAATCGATCGATATGTAAATCGATTTAAAGCAAATATATATCGGACACCCGTTGAATATTTGGAACCCAATAAACACGAAGTCAGAACTATAAGAACTATATCCAAATATGGAACAATCATCATTTACTTATAATGGAAGGAAAACATATATGGGAGCTACATCCAAATCTGAACCGATTTAAATAAAACTTGGCACATGTTAGACTACTCTAACTTTAGTACGTTGTGCAACATTTGGTGACAATCTGCGTAACCTTGGGTCTTTGGTGCACAATTGACTTAAAATCGGACGAAACTATATGGAAGCTATATATAAATCCGATTTTAACAAAGCTTTACAAACATCGTTCTGGACCTAATTCAGTATGCTGTGCAAAATTTGGTGCCAATCGGCTTAACTTTGGATATTTGGTGCACCATTTACATTAAATTGGACGAAAATATATAGGGGAGCTTTATCTTAATCGGAGCCGATTTTCACGAAACTTAACACACATCATTCTAGACATAATTCAGTACGCTGCGCCAAATTTCGTGCAAATCGAAAGATATAAAGGGACTTTGGTACACCATTTCCTTAAATCGGACGAAAATATATATGAGAGCTAAATCTAAATCTTAACCGATTTTCTCGAAACTTAACACACGTTATTCTAGACTTATTTCAGTACGATATGCCAAATTTCGTGAAAATCGAAAGATATATATGGTTTTTGGTGCACAATTTACATAAAATCAGACGAAAAAATATATATGAGAGCTGTATCTAAATCTGATCCAATTTTCACAAAACTTAAAACACATTATTATTGACTTAATTCTGTAAGATGTGCCAAATTTCGTGCAAATCGAATGATGAGCTATATCTAAATCTGAACCGATGTTCACGAAACTTAACACACACCACTCTAGACTTCATTCAGTACGCTATGCCAAATTTCGTGCAAATTGAAAGATATGTAGGGACTTTGGTGCCCCATTTACAATTAATCGGACTAAAGTATATATTGGAGCTATATCTAAATCTGAACTGATTTTTCTCAATTTCAATAGGGTTCGTTCTTGGGCCAAATAGATGAGCTGTGCAAATTCCATCCAATTCGGATCATAAATGCAACCTGTACATTGTTTACAATTTAACATGGACAGACAGACGGACGGGCATGCATAAATCGACTCAGAAAGAGATTCTATGCATATTCTCAAATGGGACCACGTGTCTATCTCGTTTCCTTTTGCCTGTTACAAAACATATGCACAAAGACATAATACCCTGTACCACAGTGTGGTGAAGGGTATAGTCATTGTGGCGCCCGTTCCGCTGAAAATATCCCTGATGTAGGTGAAAGTGTAAGCGAAGGACTGATTAAGTCGGTTTCTCGTCGTTCTCAGGAATTTGGACTACCTTACGGCACTTTATTTATAACGTATTTATCATTTAGATATGCACATACATCCATAGTCCAGCTTACGCAAAATCTGAAACCACTTGACAAATTCACAACGTCGTAGATTGAAAAATAGAAGGTGGAATCAGCCATGCAACGCATTTCTTCATAAACAAAATCGTCGTAAAGTCCCCAAGTAATTGAATAGAAGCCATTGCATCCAGAAAATGTCCCTGTTTGATTCGTTCTTTGGTCCAAAGGTGTTATTGGACCGTCAATTCGGAGCGTTATGGACATATGAACACCGGCATTTTTTGTTGGGTGCTATTACTAAATACGACTTGGAAACTATGTGGTATCAAGAAGACATTGTCAAATGCTACCCAACTCAAGTGAGGATATCAACTGGCCACCAAGACCATGTGATTTGACACCATTGAAATTTTTGTATAACAAAAATATTGTATATGTGTTTTATTTACGTTTACTTTTGAAACCACTAAATTAATAACCCTGTATTTAGTTTGCAGTTCAAGAAAATAAACCCCTCAAAATATTGTTGCACAGTGCAATCTGTGACATTTTTTATTTTTATATTTAAACCAGTGAGCGGAGCAGTATAGTCGGACGGGGCCGACCATACCATATGCTACACAACTATCACGGAACTCAAATTTTCTGCGGATGTATGTCAACTAATTTTCAGCACAGCCCTTGTGTACTTGTCCAGATTCCCTTCAACATAGGTTGTGTTGTGATGTTCGGTTTTGAATTGTGGCCTATAGGTCGAATGGAAAAAAATTTAATGATTCCAAAATAATTACTAAATCATCACGAAGGCTTTGTCCTTGACCATAACTGGAACTTCGTGGAAAATTTCAAACTGATCATCGCTATATTTCCGCCCTATAGTGTGATAATAGGTTACTAAATAATATCAGAATACGTACAAACCTGTAAATATTTTCTTGTAACTCACACATCCGAATATATACAACAATATAATTGGTATCAATTTAAAGGCCAACCACTCCTCATGCAAAATTTCATGGGTTTAGGACCAATATTTCGCGGACCAATATTTTGGGGCTGCACAAAGCTATAAAACCCTGGCAACATATTGTGTAGGGTATAAACAATTATAATATATATTTTTTATTTTTTCTTAGTTCCCTATTTATAATCAGTATTTGTTTTTTGTTCATTCACATTAGCTATCTTATAAATTCCAACAACGTTTTTTATAAAACGTCCATCGAACGTCATTAGCATGTAGGTTAG